GCGATCTATTTCAAGCTGCAACGCATGACAATAAGAGAAGAACAAAAAGAGAAAGAGAAGGTCGATTTTAATGTACTTAATTATTATTGTATTTATTGATCGTGCATAATAATAGATCATTGTGTATGACCGCAATATGACGATAATTAACTATTTAAAAGTGATAAAAATTGCATAATACTATTATATATTTACTTATGCCTTGACTGATATACTGTTAGATATCAAAAAGGAGCAATAATATATTATTATATACACACACACACACACAGAGAAATACGCAAGTAATAATTACTCTATGCAAGTAATAATTACTTATTCCAAGTATTTCAAAAGTTCATATATCCGCAAATCTATTATAAGTTCATCAGAAGCATTAAATTTAATTAAAATATATTTTAAATCCTAGTAAGAGAGTTTAATGCTTCAATCAAGTTCAAATTAAAATCAATTTGATCTGCTCATTATGAGAAGTTCGTTTCTTCAATCAATTTTATAATATTCTTCCAAAAGAAATAAATTTATATTTTGAGTACATAATAATAAGTTTTTCTAAAATTTTGTAATAAGTATATCTTATTAAGATCTTAAGATCTTATCAAGAAAATATTCTTTGTTAAAGATAAAAGAGAGTTACTTAAAAGAGAGAAAATAAATTGAATAATTACTTTTCCTAGCAGTAGATTGATATTTTTTTGTGTCGACAAACTACAATATATTCCCGAATCCTGATCCCTTGAGAATAACATTGTGTGTTATTTTTAATTTCCATGTATAACAAAATCAATCTATTTCTATAATTATATATAATTTCCAAATAAACACAACGTCTACATTAACGCGTACTCAGTAAATAATAAACTAAATTCGAGTCAAATTTAATACGTTTTCTTGAATAAGTTGTTTGACTTCATTGTTTAATTAAATTAGCGACATTGAATAGAAACAATGACATAATGAAATAATTAAAAATAATTCAAATTGGCTATAATTTGCTGTTATAAATTTAATAGTGTAGTTTATTCAGTTTGTTGTCGTTTTGATACACTTAATAACAGAATATATTTATTTGACATGGTAATTTCTATTACTACGATTTACAAAATTATTATTGAGATGTGACGTAATCGATATAAATTGTTGGGACGATTTCGAGTGATTTTGCATAAATATTATATTGAATCACGCCTTTGTAATACGTTGTCGACATATTATATATCCAATTCCATTGCACTGGAATTAATAGAGAACCGAATTTCGTGTTGGATTTCATATGGATTCAAATTAAATATTCTATGTACTTGAGTAGCATTATAAATTTTTCGACGCAGTTCTACAATTATCTTAAATATTTCTCGGTTATTGAAAAATCATTACTTGATTTTGAACAAAAAAACGTAGAATAAAACAGTTTTCGTATGATAATAGGCTTCAAATGCGGACAGCACGTATCATTGGCACGTTTTGAGTTTGCACAAACTTATCCCATAATTTCGAAATGTTCAATGCTAATCGCGTGAATCAGCAGTTATTTAGAAACTACCAGTCACGTACATACAGGCATGGTCGATAATACCAAGAGGGAATTATCCAAGTTTCCAAAATACTGTCAGACGTATAGTATCGTGAATCGTGACTGTCGTAAATTTTACGAAAGAAATGTGCTTGCTTACGAAAACAATCCCAGGATAAAGTAAGCAGCCGAGGAGGCAGAGGAGAACTAAGGTAACGCGTAGTTAATGCGAATTCCGCGCGGTAAAGTTTTATTAAATTATGTTCCACTCGACGAATTCAAATTATCTCGGATACTGCGCTTGCGAGGGCATGCGTATATATCACCTAGCCAAGAGAGACATGTTTGTGTGCGCATATGCCGGGGTAAATCATGGAAAGTGGACTACACAGGATTTTCCTCCCACATTTTTATTTCGCGTGCAACGTCGAGTATCGCTGGACGTACAGTATCGTGATATACCTTCATATAAACGTGGATCAAGAAACAAAATTCGTTACAAGTAAAACTATTAACCCTGTAAAAAAGCTTCTGGGAAAATTTTTTCCGAAAAATTATACGACGTTTTTTCGAGATTGATAAATTTTTAAACATACATCTTAAATCTTTATATTTTTTATTGATTAGAAAATTGTATAACTTGATAAGAAGCTGTCTAAGTTGAGTTTGTTAATTAGTTTTATCTCTTATTTCCATTGCATCGCATATGTGATAACAGAGTATCATCTGCTTCTTGCATGATTTATTCTTTATGAATATTATATATGCATTCGGAGCATTTTTGAAAAAGTTTCGCTCCTTTTCTTTTCTATTTTCTTTCTATTTCCTCAGTCCTTCTATTTTCTCGAAGATTTCTCGCGTTCTATTTCCGAGATTGGCATTCTTGCGCACTTCATGTGAGAGACTAGCGCGAATCAGCTCTTTCCATCAACCCTTCCCTCGACGGTTCGTTGCGATGGCGAGAATGCGGAATTGCGGCCGGTAAGGATGTGCATTTCCCCGCTTAAGTTTAAATTGTATATTCGAGGAAATGCTTCGCCCAACTATTTGAGCAACTTTTAATACGACTGCCGCTAACCGCTCGCGAAGTATGATAATCAGTCGAGTTTTCCGTTTGCAGATGGAAAGATAGAGGCAGGACAGACAATTCCTCGTTTGATGTTAACTTTTTTTTTTTTAAAGATACGCTTTATGAATTCGATAAAAATAGAAATTGCAGTTGCGAGCGACAAAAATACATTCTGTAGTAATTTAACATTAAGAAGATGCTTATAAATGCGCTGCATTTATTATATTTATTTATTTAATTTTATTATCAGAGCCTCCAGAGAAACTTGATTATTCTTTTTCTGAAGAGTTTAAATTTCTGAAAAGTTTAATTATTTAAAGCGATAATAATATAACAATTTGTATGTAGCTTCAAAATGGTGCTTAATAACAGCGATTTGTCGCCTGTTACCAGTCATGTCGATCTTGCATTCGAAAGAAACCTAGTCCGAAATTGATTTAAGAGTCTTAATTGGGCGGACGCGAGACGACGATCTCGCAAATTAGTATCGAGTGCAACCTGTTGCTGGGACGGGATTTGTCGTTCGGTTTTAAGCTATGACAATTGAGTTTACTCGGAAAAGAGAGATCACTCACCGTCTCGCGCTTTTTACTCCAATCATTCTTGCCGTCACGTAGCTGATAACGAGGATCTCGTTAGTTGCTAACGAATTGTTTGGATACAATCGCGCGAAACTCCCAGGAACGTGCTTCTCGCATTCATTAACATTCGAATCAGGCCGTTTGGATTCCAAATGCTTTGATACCGCGGATTAAGTTGATTGAATCGCATTATATGTGCGGCTCTCTGAAAATGAGGTTAACGGATGGTCGCGTGGATAGAGAGAGAGAGAGAGAGAGAGAGAGAGAGAGAGAGAGAGAGAGAGAGAGAGAGAGAGACAGATTGCAATAATATTTGGTATTTTATAACTTAGAATAAAGAGTTACAAGAACAGATTTTTGTAAAAAATTTAAATACTGTCTAGAATTATTCGATCTGTTATTAAAATCGTAAAAAATGTATTAACACCGTTAAAAATTAAAGAAACAATTTTTTGTTACAAGAAGATATAATTATGAACCCTACAGAATTATAAATTATGATATTTAATTTCGCTTGATTTATAATAAATAATATAAAATGTGGATATATGATCCCATACTCCGTAGAGAATAAAAGTTTACAAATGCGCAAATAGTATACATAAAATATATAATTATTAGTAATTTTTTAAATAAAATATAAAATGAGATAAATTAATAAAAAGGATAATAAACATTAAAATAACATATAAAATTAAATTTGCCAAATTTTAATGGTTCCTTTTTAAATACAATAGTCTATTTCACTTTTACCGATAAGTATACATTTAGGACATATAATAATAGTTTACATTATATATAGAATCTCAGAAATTAATGCGCACATTTATCGATAAAAGTGAAGTTGTAAATGTAGTGTAAATCAATATACATTCTGAATATATATTTGTATGCTTATTATAATAAATCTATTTTGTTGTAACATAATATGTGATTGTATAACGAATATACAAAAATTTGTACTTA